ATTTGGAAAAATTAGTCAGGAAAGTCAAGCAATTTTTCTTAATTTTGCTGGAAAATTCTGGTACAAGATTAAAAAAAAAAAAGAAGATGTAATGAATTGCAATTAATTATAATTAATTATAACCCAAAAAAGGATTTTTCAAGAGGATTTGAGTATTTTGCCTAAAAACAGTATCTTGAAAAACATAACATTGTAATCAGTCATAATAAATTTATACCTCATTATATTTCTATTGAATTTTATATTCGAATTTTTAAAGTAAGCTATGAAAAATAATTTAGCTTCTCAAGATATGTATTTTCCTAAAAAAAAGTAATGAAACAAAATGCACCCTAAAGAACTCAACGAGAATTCTGATTTCTTTTGTCTTTATATGATCATATATAATGATTTCTTTTGTCTTTATATGATAATATATAATGCTTATATTATAGCCATTTATTTCACATGGCTTCTTCATGATGCTTGACTTTTCATTTTTATTAACCTTCAGTAATCATTTTTGTTTTTAGTTGAAGAAATCTTACAAATAATCTCAATGCATGATTGATGGAAAGAGGTCCCACCAATAATACATTTCTTAAAATTAAATTATGTGCACAAGACACGCATATATGTATATATATGAAATAGTGTCATTCTTCTTATTAACATCAGTTGGTCTTCACAAAAATTGTGCTGTTTGCTACTCCATTGCCCATTTTTCAAGAAAAAAATAAATACAATTTTATTTCAAAAAAAAAAACTTTATAATTTGATCCAATTAAATTTTTGAATGGGACCCAACTTTTTAATATTAAAAAGGAAAATGATTTAGAGATATATTTTTATTATATGTATGTATAATTTTACTTACCATTTAAATAATTAATTTTTTTATTCATTTTAGATCTATGATTTTAAATCCATGATATTGAGTATATCATTTTATTTAATAATATATAAAAGTTATATAAAAAATAATATAAAAAGTTATCTATATATTACTAGCCTATTAAAAAATTTTCTTTATTAAATAATT